AAAAAATAAAAAATAAAATTTACTAACCTTAAATTTGATTGGCTGCTATATATAGGGTCGCCATGGCGATGGGTCTCTATAAAAAATTTAACTAATTATATTTATATATATATTATAATTTTAACTTTAAATAAATAATAAAGTTTAAAGTTTATAATAATAAAATTTATATATATATAGTATGTATATTTTTATAATTTTTTTAAAAACTTAGAAATTTACAAAAATACAATTATTACTACAATGTCTCTTGATTCTCTTATTGATGCTTTTGATACTTATGAAAATATTTACGAAGATAATTATGTAGTAAGAAGAATTTTAAATATTATAATAATAATTTATTTTAATTTATTCATTTTTGTTGTTTAAGTTTAAATATTAATAATTAATAATTAATAAAATATTTAGGAAATAGATTCTAATAGTACTGTTGAATCATCAGGAAATAGTAATATAGAAAGTGCTATTACTTTTGAAAATCCAATTCAATCTTTAGATAAAGAATTATTATCTGATATTCAACTTAAAGATCATTTTGAACAACCATTAATTCAATTAACAAAACATAATATTGTTAATAATATACAATATCATTTAACTCCTATTGAATATCCTACAACTGCTAATGAAGATATTGCTCATATTTTTTGTATCGAAAATGGGATAATCCATCTTCTTTATTTAAAGATGTTAGTATTTTATTTTATTTATTAATTTAATTTTTTATTTAAATTAAATAATAATTATAACTAAAATTTTATATTTATTATTAGATTCAATATTCATTAGGTGATCCTAAAGTATTGCATAGCAAAGTATTTTGTCCCTTTTTAGAAGTAGATTGTCATGAATCTATAAAAACTTGTAGAAGGATAAAAGTTTGTGAAATAGCTGATATGAATATAGCAACAACTCCACATTATAATGTTAATCCTGATACTGATTTAATTCTTCATGATAATAATAATTTGAATGAAGAAAATCAAATTAAAACTAATACAATTGGGTAATAATTTTCAAATTTTTATTATTTTTTCAAATTTAATTATAATATTTTATTTATTAATTTATTTATTTTATTTATAGAGAATATATTGCAACAATTAAAGCCAATTGTCCTTATAATAATTATACACGCAAAGAAAAGCCAATTATCCAATATTATAATATTTTAAGAAGTGAAAATCAAGATGATAATACTTCTAATGAAGAATATATTATTCAAAAAACTTCTTCAAAAAAGGAAATAGAAATTATGAAACCTTTTATTAGTTGTGATAAATGGCATCCAGGTAAAAAAAATCATCGAGTACAAAAAATAAGACCAGGTTGTGATATTGAATTATTAAAAGATTTATTTGAAAATAATGGAATAGTATCAACATATGAGGTAAATAAAAAAATAATATTTTATAATAATTATTTAAATTATTAATTATTTTTTATTTTAGGATGATTTAATATGCAATACTATTTTTTCTGCTTCTTCAAATAAAAATCAATGTGGTATGAATAATTTTAAATTTAATTTTTTTATATATTAATTACAGTCAAACCCCTCTATAGTCACACCTTCGGGATACAAAAAACTGTGATTATAAAGAGGCGTGACTTATATAGAGGTATTTTCTATATTGTTATAAAAGATTGGTAAAAATAAATTTTTAA